ATCTGCGGCCTCCCCACCCACCTCTCTCGGGGCTTCTGTTTCCATGGCGACAATGTGGCTCTGGGGGCGGGGCCACTTCTTCCAGGAGCCGGTGGGATAGAAGCAGAGGCGCTGAGCATCTCTTGAAGTTGCCAAGCCAGCGCGGTGGCCGCATGCTCTCCAGGACGTGCTGGAGCCCCCACAGTGAGTGGGCACCACTCAGGCCCCATGGAGGCCGCCTTGGCCTTGGCCTTGGCCTTGGAGAGGAACCCGAGCCAGGCCCTCTGGCAGCCGCAGGCCTGGTTCCACCCGCGCACGCGCAGACCCTCAGCTTCCTGACCTCCTGGAGAAGCGCTTCCTGGGTGAGCAGGTGGGGCTCCTCCAGGAGATGGGCCCACCTGACCCGCTGCGCAGGCTGCGGCCCCCAGGCTTCTCCCAAAGGCTCACCCTCAGGCACCACTGGGAGCCTGTGGAGCCCACAGGCCTCTGAGGGGGTCCCTGTGTTCCCCTGGGGCCTCGCTTTTGCCTGAGCCTCTCCCCAAAACTACTAGCCATTCCTTTAACTACCTGCAGCCCCCTCCCATGCATTGACCAAATGGAAACTATCGATATAAAGTTTTTTCCACCAATAAAAAAGAAAAGAAAGAAAACATACACATACCTGCTTGTCTCTACTAAAAGAAACACAGGCAGGTGACCTACAAAGTCACCTACAAAGAGTGGGAGGGAATGGTATTGAAGGGCTATGGGAGGAAGGGAGTGACACTTGTCTAAGTATATCTTTCTGTATAGTTTTGATTTGTGGGAATATGTTAATTTTCCACATATTCAAAGATGAGATCAAGCCCTGGCTGGCTAGTTCAGTTGGTTAGAGCGTCAACCCAATATCTCAAGGTTGCAGGTTTGATCTCCAGTCAGGACACATACAAGAATCAACTAATGAATGAATAAATAAGTGCAACAACAAATCTCTCGCGTGTGCTCTCAGATCAATCAATAATTTTTTAAAAATCAATAAGGACGGGAAAGAGAAACAAACTAAAACTGAAAGCAAATTGAAAAAACAAAACACACAGAATTTCAAATGATTAATGGAAGCACATTATGGGGAGTTGGGAGAAGGGAGAACTAATCCAAGTAGTGTATGAACACAGAACTTATCTATATACCGTCTGTTTTTGGGAGGGAGTCAGAGAACTACAAACAAGTACTGAACTAACCTATACTAGAGGCCCTGAAAATTCATGCACTGGAGGAGAGGTCCAGGAGCCCTCAGGGGCAGGAGGTGACCCAGCGATCAAGGGAAGGTGATGCCCCATCACACCTCTGCTGCTGCCACTGCCAGCAGTGCAAGCCTCAGCCAGCCCTGGTTACCTGAGACTTGGGCAGCCACCATCCGAGGCTTGCCTTCACCTTGGGCTGGCCCTGAGTGGCTGGAGGACTGAGGGGACTGGGGGACTCTGGAGGCAGGTTCGCCGAGTGTCCAGGCCCACCTGGGTGTGGGCCCAGTCTTGCCACATGCCTGCCAGCCTGGCAGGACTGAGGGGACTGAGTACCACCATCTTGTGGCTGTGAGTGCTGCCATCTTTGAGGGTGGGGCAATCAATTAGCATATTCCCTCCTTATTGGCTGTGGGTGCCACATGAGGATCAATTAGAATATTCCCTTTTTATTAGATAGGATAATAAAAGGGTAATATGCAAATTGACCAAACCATAGAACAACCGGTTGCTATGATGCACACTGATCACCAGGGGGCAAATGCTCAATGCAGGAGCTGCCCCCTGGTGGTCAGTCTGCTCCCACAGGGGAAGCGCTGCTCAGCCAAAAGCTGGGCTCATGGGTAGCGAGTGCAGTGTCGGTGGCGGGAGCCTCTCCTGCCTCCAAGGCAGCACTAAGGAGCAGCAAGCAAGCATGTGGTAAGGAGCAAGGGGTCCTGGACTGTGAGAGGGCACAAGTCGGGCAGACGGAACCCCCCTCCCCTGCCAAATGCAGAATTCTGTGCACCAGGCCTCTAGTTTTTAATAGGTTTGTTTAGTGTAGTGGTATGAGGAAAGCAACCCTGAAACTATTTCAGATGTGCTTTGGGATTGAGCGAATCTATACCCTATATAATAAAGAGGCAATATGCAAGTTGACTGCCACACCCTTGCATAAGGTCACAGTATGGCCAGGCAGTTGTGGGCGATCAGGCCAACAGGGGAGGGCAGTTAGGGGCGACAAGGCCAGAAGGGGAGGGCAGTTGGGGCAACCAGGCAAGCATGGGAGGGCAGTTAGGGATGGCTGGGTTGGCAGGGGAGGGCAGTTGGGGGCGACTGGGCCTGCAGGGGAGGGAGGGCAGTTGGGGGGACCAGGCCAGCAGGGTAGGGCAGGGTAGGGCAGTTAGGAGCGACCAGGCTGGCAGGAGAGGGCAGTTAGGGGTGACTGGGCCAGCAGGAGAGACCAGTTGGAGGCGACTGGGTGACAGGGGAGGGCAGTTGGGGTTGATGAGGCCGGCAGGGGAGCAGTTAGGCTTTGATCAGGCTGGCAAGCAGAAGCAGTTAGGGGCAACCAGGCAGGCAGGCAAGCCGTTGGGAGTCAGCAGTCCTGGACTGTGAGAGGGATGTCTGACTGCCTGGTGTGATCAGGCCTAAACAGGCAGTCAGACATCACTTGAGGGGTCCCAGATTGGAGAGGGTGCAGGCTGGGCTGAGGGACAGACACACATACACACACACGAATTTTGTGCACTCGGCATCTAATATATATATAAAGCCTAATATGCAAAGTGTCCCCTTGGGAGTTCGATCACTTACTATGATGTGCACTGACCACTAGGGGCGCTGCGGAACGGAGGGCTACCAGTGGTGGCAGAGGAAGTGAGGAAAAGAGGAGGCAGGGAACCTGATTGTCCCTGACTGCCAGCCAGGCCTAGGGACCCTACCTGTGCAACGAGTTCATGCACCAGGCCTCTAGTAAGTAAGTAATTGGATACTGTTGGGAACCATGGTCCTCACTGTGGAAGAAGGGACATACAAATAAGAAACAGGTAAGGCTAGGAAGGATCCTGTGGCAACTGATGGGAGGTATCAGTGTGACCTCAGGATTTCTAAAATAAGTATGTATATTATATAACAGGTGTGTGTGTGCACACACGCATGTTTCTCCTAGCTATGGCTGCAAAGAAACCCCAATAGCAATGGACACCAGTGTTCAAATCTTGGTCTCTCACACCCTTCCCCACTAAAAAGAACCAGGGCTCCTTGAAGAAATGGTTGATTTCAAGGATGTGGAAGGGAATTCCCAAGATAAGCCTGGAGCACCTTGTTATGCTACAAAGTAAGAAGTGCTGAAAATAATCCTGGGGGCATAGCAAGGATATAGCAATCAGCTTAAAGGGGCTCCCACTGGCCAAAGCTGGGGTGGGGCCTGGGAATCTGTACTTCTAACAAGTTGGCAGGTGGTGATGATGCTGAGGCTGCTGGCTGGGGACTACACTTTGAGAACCACTGTGCAAAGGTAAAAAAAAAAAAAAAAAAAAAGACTGTGAAAAACTTAAAAGTTGGCCCTAGATGCTTTGGCTCAGTGGATAGAGTGTCGGTCTGTGGACTAAAGGGTCCCAGGTTCAATTCCAGTTGAGGGCACATGCCCAGGTTGCAGGCTGAATCCCCAGCAGGAGGCGTGCCGAAGGCAGCCAATCAATGATTCTCATCATTGATGTTTCTACCTCTCTCTCCCTTTCCCTTCCTCCCTGAAATCAATAAAAATATATCTTTTTAAAAAACTTTAAAAAATATATTAACTTTAAAAATATATATATATATTTTTTAGAAGTTGGTCGTTAGGGGTTTTCATCTATCATATAGTACAATTTTAAACATTAAACCTTGGCATGACACTAAGTCTTCATTCCCCTTTCCCTCCCCCATATACCAATTAATCAATGTATGTGAATTTTTCTTTGTCAAGATTAATTACATTTACATTCCATTCTACAACTATAATTCCTCAGTTTTCAGTTCTGTATTTTCATGGACTCAGAGCTCCTAACCATTCCTTTTACTAGAACTTTGTTGGGAAAGTTGGTCCCCTCTCTTCTGGGTTCCAAAATGTCCAGAACAGGGGTTGACTGGACCCAGGCAAAGGTGTACCTTATCCTTTGGACACTGGCATCCACAGGTGGGCACTGCAACCTGACCTGACCTGGCAAGTGCCTCCTCCTGGGGATCTCTCTGCTACACTGAGGTCCTGAGAAAGGAGCAAAGAATCCATCTTCCCAAGTGCTTCCCATGCCTCTCCACATGGCCTTGCGTCCCTTGTGTCCATACTTGGGCCCATCCTCACCAAAATGTTGCCAATTGCGTTTCTTTACTCAGTGCTTCTCAGGGGATTGGGGAGGTTTTGTCGCATTAGCATCTTTCCCCCTTATCTTTCTTGTTTGATTGCTGCTGCAGAACTTGTGGCTGCTGCTTATTGAGTTGGCTATTTAATGGAGAAGGTGTGTATCTGACCCAGCCTTATTTCTCCTGCTTGGACCTGAAAATATCTCCAGACTTAAAAAATATATATATATTGAAAAATATAGGGTTTATTGGGTAAAATGTGCTCCATATTATGCATCTACATAAAGTGTTATAATGTAAATATAATTTTTTCCAATAGCAAAAAAGTATATTCCAAAATATTTATAGTTTTCTTGGCGATAAAATTAGGGATGATTTTTAATTGAAATTTATAGAGATAATTATAGATTTACATGCAGCTATAAGAAATAATACATGCCAAGCTGGTGTGGCTCAGTAGTTGAATGTCGACCTATGAATCAATTCAATTCCTGGTCAGGGCACAAGACCTGGTTTTGGGCTCAGTCCCCAGTGGGGGGCGAGCAGGAGACAGCCAATCATTGATTTGCTCTCATCATTGATGTTTCTCTCTCTCTCTACCTCTCCCTTCTTCTCTGAAATCAATAAAAAATATTTTTATTAAAAAAAATTTTAATTACATTAATGTCCTCACAAACTGTCAAGTAACTTCCTCAAGCATAAGGAACAACAATGGTTTATTTTGATACCAATAAACATTTCACAAAATTCAATTGGGAATGTAGAGGTAATAATAAGCAGAACACAGAAAACATAAAGAAATGATATTAAAGCCTAAAATATCATTTATATTCCCAACCATTCTTATACATAGTAGATATTTGATACAACTGAACTTAAACATTTTATAAAATGTGCTTACAAAATGTGTAATGCTGTAGTAGTAAAGTACAATTTCCAAATATGAGACTTTGTCAAATTTTTTAAAAGCCTTTAAAAATATGATATGCACAAGCTTGCCCTGAGGGAAAGTAATGTGGAATATAGATTACAAAATCTTCACATATTTTCCACAATAGCATTTTAAAATCCTAAAACAGCAAACAGTTATGGAAAAAAACTGAATGAACCAATTGCTAAAAGTTCAGTGCACTCATAACTACCTGATGGAATATTTGGAAGCACCTTTTCTCTTGCCTTCTTAGACCATAATATGAAATGTATGAATTACAATATAAAGGCCTTGAGCTTCAGACACTTAAGAAAACTTCAAGTTATAAGTCAAAATATCACCAGGAAAAAATATCTTGTATAAAATTTGCTACCATAAGGCCACTGTTAAAAGTCCTTTCATGTATAGAGTCTATACAATTCAGATACTTTTGTTTTTTATTACATATGTAAAACTTTCAATATATAAACATTTGAATATAACTCAGTTAAGTTCCCTATGAAACCATATTCAGAGAAAAATTCAACAAAGAATGCCCTTTTGAAATTTTTTGCTAAAGAAACTAGTTAATACAGCTTTTCAATTAAATACTGTACTTTAAAAGCAAGTAAGTGTACAAAAATTGCAGCAATCCACTACAGAAAAATTTATTTTATCAAGAAAGTTACAGTATTAGTGCTTTAGTGTCAAATGTCCTGTAGTGTTGATTCCATTTGCGACAAATTCCCCTTTAGACTTCTGCGGCAATGCCTGCATATTTCTATTGAAAGAAAACAAAAGACAGACTTCAAAAGAAGCACAGGTATAACATCTGAGCTAGTTTGTTTACATTGCAATTTATAAAATAGTTTAATTTATGTAGTATTACTTGAATCCTAGCTCCCCATAAAGGCATGTGGTTATATGGAACCCCAAATATGCAAAATAACAATAGCGCACCTCAAAGTGGGTATCAAATGATGACAGTAGGACAAAGAAAATACATGGCACTCAACCCATTGCTATAAGTAAGCTGATGGGAATGGCCATTGGGTGAGTTTCATTGGGGACATCCCTGGGGAAAAAATGGCTCTTAAACTTTATTCCTTCAACTACAGAGCCTGATTTGACACATGCACAACTTCAAACTGGTATTTTATCTTTGTCATCATATGGTACCTAATTCTAAAATGATATGAACTCTATTAGGTCTAGTAATAATTAATGTCGTTTTCTAATACTTTTTTAAATAGAATTTATTTAAACAATACAACAAAATTTAATCAACAATATAGTTGCCGTGGTTTTCTATAATACTACTTGTGCCCAACGCTCAGGAAGCATTTTAATCCCTCTGTTGTAAAATTCTTGTGATTTTGATGCCAAAAATTCAGTCAATGCATTTTTGAGGCATTCTTCATTATTAAATTTTTTTCCAAGAAGAAAGTTTTGCAAAGAACGAAACAAATGGTAATCGGAAGGGGCAATATCAGGAGAATATGCAGGTTGAGGGAGAACTTCCCATTCCAACTGGCGCAGTTTTTCAGCAGTGATTCTTGCAGTATGCGGTCGTGCGTTATCGTGGTGAAGAATTACGCCCTTCCGATTAATCAGCGAGAGTTCTTTTTCTCTTAAAGCTTGGGCTAACCTTTCCAATTGGGCACTATACACTGCACTTGTAATGGTTTGGTTAGATGATAAAAGTTCATAATGAAGAATTCCTTTAAAATTCCACCAAACACACAACATCACTTTTTTTCGCATGCAAGTCAGGTTTTGGCGTGGGCTGCGGAGCCTCATTTTTGTCCAACCATTGAGGCCGCCTTTTCAAATTAACATACAGCACCCATTCTTCATCTCAGGTAACAATTTGCTCTAAAAACGGCAAACGGTTTTGACGAGAGAGGAGCGAACTGCAAATTGTGACTCTTTGATTACGGTTGTTGTCATTCAATTCATGAGGAACCCATTTCCCAAACTTTTGGACTTTGCCAAGTGCACGCAATTGATTGGAAATTGTTTTTTGTGAACAATTTAAAGTTGTCGCAAGCTCTTGTTGGGTAATTTGAGGATTTTGCACCAAAAGAGCTTGAAGAGCTTCTTGATCAAAATTGGACACACGGCCTCGACCACTCTTGTCATCTAACGAAAAATTTCCCTCGCGAAATTTCTCAAACCAACGCTGGCATTTTCTGGCGCTAACTGCATCTTGACCAAGAGCACTACAGATGTTTTTTGCAGCCTCACTTGCTTTTCTTCCTAATTGGAACTCATAAAGCATGCAGTGCCGAATATGCTCTTCATCCGCCATCTTCTTAGCCCTAGTTTTGCAACAAAAACCAAACCAAACACAAACTTTTTCAAGCAAAACTTGTAAATTGCACTTCACACGTTCTGTAGATACCACGCGTTTGAAGGTTATGTCAATACAAGTCAACGCCAAGCAAGATTTTAAACGAATGTTAAAAACGACATTAATTATTACTAGACCCATAGCTTGGCTGATATCAATAGAAAAAGCTATTGGGGGAAAGCTTTCTTGCTTTTGGATGATTACCGACAACATAAATATATATAGAAGGCTTCAATAAACACAGAAAAAGAAATTCACAAGAACATGTAAGACTAAGATTAAAGGGTAAAGACCATGGATTCTATACCGTGATGCTATGTAAAATATTAAATTACCAACCATGAACTGAACATAGGACCATGCAACTAATAAAAGAGCAAAAATGGCAGAATGGCATGTTTTTATGGGACATTAAAAAATATTAATACATATATCCTTACCTTTTACTAGGATCCTATAATATTAAAACTGAAAGAAATGTAAAAGTAGATTTATTTTTTTGGCATTTATGTTAGTATGCAAATGTTTAATTCCAAACAAAAACAGTACTGATAAAAAAAAAAAAAAAACTCTTATTTTTTCTATTTTGGTTAACGAAATATTCAAGATACATGCATATATACTTTGTCAACAGAATTTCTTTAAACAGAGGTAGACTTCATTGTATTCTATATCTTTATTCAAATATAATATACAAAATTATATAAAAACAAATTTAAAAGAAAACTATAATAATTCTTAAAGTTTTTTCAACTGAAACACGTTGTTTATAAAAATGTACAATTAGCCCTGGCTAGTGTCCGTATGTTCAGTGGTGTCAGTCCACGCACCAAAGGGTCACAATTCCAGGTCAAGGGAACGTACCTGGGTTGCAGGTTCAATCCCTTGTCCCAGAGTGTGTGCAGGAGGCAAACAACCGATGTTTCTCACATTGAAGTTTCTCTCTCTCTTCCTCTTCCTCTTCTTCCCCCTTCCTCCCACTCTCTCTCTCTCAAAAAAAAAAAAAAAAAAAAAAAAAGCAGTGGAAAAAATGTCCTCAGTGAGAATTAACAAAGAAGAATGTACAATTATTGTGAATCATGTTCATCTTTGACATAACTTCTTCTATACCACCTCTTGGATTAATCCCTCCATTCTTCCAATTATTTGAAAACCTAACTAAGCAGAATGCTGAACTAGCTAAACAAGCATCATCCTCATGTAGATTTTTATAACTTAACACTTGTGTCATTGAAAATGTCTACTTGTTGCTCTTCCTGTATCTCATCTCCTCCCCAGAAGCCTGCCTACCCACTGCTCACCAAGTGTTCATCAAGTACCACTTTCTCCGTCTCAGTCTATAATAGGAAGATGTCCTGTTACTACCACATCATATCCTATTCTACCCAGTTTTTGAGGTCCTCTATAGTTTGTACACCCCTATCTCTACCCAACTCTACATTCTACTGCCAAACATGGATCTTTGGCCTTGCCTTCTATGTCCTACCCTTCTCCATGGCTCAGCTCATAATCCACCTCTACCTCATCTGTGAAGAGACTAGAAATCAAGGTACTTAGCATACTCACCATTCCTAACATGTTGACCTTTTCCTCCTCTTAGGCACTTACCACCTGTGAAATTCAGCTCTTCAAAAGTATGGTTGTACAGCAAGCAGTTAATATAGTATACCTAACTGCTACCCTTTGAAAGGCCTGCTTACAAGGTTGGCCATTGGCTGCCATCTGAAAACTTAGATTTCTGGAAGATCCCCACCACTGATGACTGTATAAACTATGCAAGTAGTAAGTCAATGCTGACCACCTGCTTTCCTTGTGAGAGCCTGGCATTTGGGTATGTCTGGCAGGGGGTGCTTACGTGACCAGCTCCCAGTAAGGCTCCCATGAGCACTGAGTCTCTCTCAAGCTTCCCTGGCTAGCGACATTTCACATGTGTTTTCACAGCTCATTGCTAGGGGAATTAAGCAAGTTCTGTGTGACTCTGCTGGGAGTGAGCTCTTGCAAACTTACAGCTGGGGTCCCCGGGACTTTGCCCAGGTACCAATTCCTTTGCTGACGGTGCTGTGCAGCCTTCAACAGTAACACATCATAGTCATGTGGCCTCGGCGTCCTCCTAGTGAATCGCTGAACCTGGGGGTGGTCTTGGGGTCCTCTGACACAATGGCTGCTGTTCACTAATTTTTTAGAGTTATGAATGGATGTGCTTGTATGAGTGTTATGTATGTACATGTTATATGTGTGTGAATATGTATGATTAGATTTGATTCATTCAAAAGCATTTTCCAAAGATAGGCTACAATGAAAGGCAATAGGGGAATATTTGAAAACTAATGAGGTGACCTCTATCCTTAAGGAGTTGACCATCTCTTTGGGGAAATAGGAAGGCAAAGAGCAACAGTTAGAGCCCGCTGGCATTGGCTCAGTGGATGAGCGTCGACCTATGAACCAGGAGGCCACAGTTCAATTCCCGGTCAGGGCACATGCCTGGGTTGCTGGCTCAATCCCTAGTGGGGGGCATGCAGGAGGTAGATGACCAATGATTCTCTCTCATCACTGATGTTTCTGTCTCTCTCTCCCTCTCCCTTCCTCTCTGAAATAAATTTTAAAAAATTATTTTTTTAAGAAGAGCAACAGTTAGAGATCAAATGCAATGACAACTAAAGAGGGGAGGGATTTGGTAAAGCTTTACAGTGAGTCTTAAAAGGAAACCAGGATTTTAATAAGATTGGGGATTTGGAAGTTATTTTTAGTCAAGAGAACAAGAGGCACAAAGATACAAACATGTGAAAACATATGTTATGCTCCAAAAAACAGAGAGCCCATGAAGAAATGTGGTTAGAAAGGTAGCTTAAGGCAGGACCTGGCTAACAAGTCTAGTCTCTTTTTTCGTAGGAACAAAAAAAACCTTTGGAAGGTGTTTGCACAAGAGTGATATGATTCAACCCGTGTCTTGGGACAACTGTGCTAGCAGTGAAGGAACCGAATAAGCAAATCATATGAAGCAAGGAAATATAAGGCTCAAAGAGTCCAAGAACAGATCAGGAATACATAAGAATAGAACATACAGTAAAGGTGGCATTTTCAATCAGTGGGGAAAGGACAAATTACTCAATAGTGTTTGAAAAACTGACTACTCATTAGGGAAAAAAATGAGATCCTGACCTCACATCATAGCATAAAAATAAATTGTAAATGGAATTAATATTTATATGTTTAAATTTGCTAACCATAAACATAACCATTATAGTTATTTTAAAAACCATAAGTAATTTTTATAAGCATAAGCATGACACTTGACAGATTCATCAACACTTACAAGTTCTGTATCGTAAAAGCCATCACAGATGACAAACATCAAATAAACACCACCAAATGTATGACAGATGAATACCCTCAGTAAATCAGAAGCTCCTACAAATAAACTCCTTGACAGAAATGCCAGGGAAGCATAGAAATAAGGAAATTGAGGGAAGAAATACAAATGGCCAATAGGTACATAAAAATATAGTCACATCATTAATAGTAATAGAAAGGCAAATGCAAGCTGTTTTCTGCTATCAGATTGATAATAGGTAATAAACACTGATGATGTGGAGTGCTGGCGAGAGGGTGTAGGTAAACAGGCCTCTTCATATACCTCTGCTGAGAGCAGAAATGAGAGCAGTATGGCAATGTACCAAAGCACCAATATCCCCAATGGTATTAACCGAAAATAATAAAAACCAGTAAGCTATCCAGGAGTCATCAACAGCCTTGGTTAAGGAAATCAGCAATCATCAAATGGGGCTATACATATCCTTACGAGTATATAAAGACTTTCCAAGGAGTATGTGGGTACAATTAGTTTGGAGGGAATTAATCTCCAGATCTTCAAATTCCCAATGCTTGCTTTCTAGAATTAACCTGCCTGAACATCTGATTAAGTCTATGTCCCACCTCTCACTTTGCACAAGAAAGATATGCCTTCTCATCCCGAATCTGATTACTTTGCATTACCTGGGGAACCCCGCCCCCCCCAAAAAAGGGAGACAACTGAAAAAAGTGGTGGTAGTGTGAAAAAAGAACCCACCTTAGCAGCTATTAATAAACATCATGCAACGGTTTCTGATTCTTTGCTTTTGTTTAATAAAACAGAAAGGGAAAATTGAGCTGTCAGTGAAAAAACACTCAAAATACTTTTTGATGATAGATCACTAATTGATTTTTCTGATCTATAATTCAAAGTGAGTCCAAAAAAACTGAGTATAATAGAATAGCTATAATAAAAGTCCTTTCATTCCCATCCATACAATAATATAAATAAAGTTTCTCAGGACTTATATCTATAAAAAGAAAAAATAGAATTACAATGTATACTTGAACACTGTATTATTCTACCAGCAATAAGTACTATTCATCTACAAATACATGAACTAATTAAAAAGAGAAATATATGCCGAAACCGGTTTGGCTCAGTGATAGAGCGTCAGCCTGGGGACTGAAGAGTCCCGGGTTCGATTCCGGTCAAGGGCATGTACCGTGGTTGCGGGCACATCCCCAGTAGGAGGTGTGCAAGAGGCAGCTGATCGATGATTCTCTCTCATCGATGTTTCTAACTCTCTATCCCTCTCTCTTCCTCTCTGTAAAAAAATCAATAAAATATATATTTTAAAAAGAGAAATATATTTCTAATAAAATATCTTTGTCTAATCAATACTTAAAGTCTGCAATATACTTATGCTATTTTGATCAACAGTAATGTTAATCCAGAGGAAATATTTAACACCTAATAGTCACAGAAATAAATTATTAACATTTTATGTAAAATTTGTTTATCAGAAGAAGACTTTCAAAAAAAAGTCGATGGGGGAAAGGAAATAATATCCAAATTCAAGGTAAAAAAGGATGTAAAAATTGTCACTTAAAAGAGCATGTTTGTACATCTTTTTAAATGGATGATGCTAGTGACCAAATACCTAGTCCACTGAAGAGATTTAAAAGAATGATGTTACAGTTTTATTTAAGACTCAGTATTTATAATATGCCAGATAGTATATCCTTTATAACAATTGAAACTTATAATGAAAAATTAGATACCAAACTAAACTTGTGCAGCAAGGTTAATAATTTTTCAAAATTTGGCGTATGTAGCAAAAGTTTGAAAAGTACCGAAATAAGTAATACATACATAGAGAGGAATAATATGCAGCCGTTAAAAGAAATGAGTCGAATTACAGAATAAATGAGTCATAAAAATAAGACTTGGAAAGGCTGAAGTTGGGAGGACTAGAGGATGAATGAGAGGTTTCTGCTCTGACTGGTGGCTGTGGAAGCCATGGACCATGAGGGGAAAACAATGGCTGGGGAGGAGAGCCAATTTGATTTTACTTTAACAGCATTTACTGTGATGTAACTCACATACCATATAGTTCAACCATTTAAAGTGTACAATTCAAGTTGTTCTGGTGTATTCAGAGCTGTGCAACCATCAG